TGGGAGAGGGGTGAGGGTCGTCAAACACACCCGACGTTCTGGGAGAGGGGTGAGGGTGGTCGGACACACCCGACGTTCTGGTAGAGGGGTGAGGGTGGTCGGACACACCCGACGTTCTGGGAGAGGGGTGAGGGTGGTCGGACACACCCGACGTTCTGGTAGAGGGGTGAGGGTGGTCGGACACACCCGACGTTCTGGGAGAGGGGTGAGGGTGGTCGGACACACCCGACGTTCTGGGAGAGGGGTGAGGGTGGTCAGACACACCCGACGTTCTGGGAGAGGGGTGAGGGTGGTCAGACACACCCGACGTTCTGGGAGAGGGGTGAGGGTGGTCAGACCCATACGACGTTCTGGGAGAGGGGTGAGGGTGGTCAGACACACCCGACGTTCTGGGGGGGGGGGGGGAGAGGGATGAGTTTGGTTAGACACATCCGACGTTCTGGGGGGAGAGTGGTGAGTTTGGTTAGACACACCCAACGTTCTAGGGGAGGTAGAGATTGTGGTTAGACACGCCCGACGTTCTAGGGGAGAAGGGGGGGGGGGGGGGAGTTTGGTTAGACACGCATGACGTTCTGGGAGAGAGGGGTGAGTGTGGTTAGACAAGCCCGATGTTCTGAGAAAGAGGGGTGAGTGCGGTTCGACACACCCGACGTTCTGAGGGAGGGGGTGATTGTGGTTAGACACATCCGACGTTCTTGGGGAGAGGGGTGAGTTTGGTTAGACACGCCTGACGTTCTGGGAGAGAGGGGTGAATTCAGTTAGACACACCCGACGTGCTTTTGGGAACGGTTCAGAGCCAAAACAGTCCACCAGTGTTTAGTGATCCGCGTCTTAGGGGGACAAATCTTATCTCAGTGGTCATGGGTCCAAACGTATACCGTCACCATCCGCTGTGCCTGTCTCAACGTAAAGGACCAAATGTGACACATTTTAGTCCACTGGAGCTGTTAGATATTAATTATAAAACATTTTGAATCGTAGATAATGTGATCGAACTTTTCCTATGTCAACAACTAAGCATATTTTTGACAGTTGGGTGTTTTTGACTGTTTCGTCTATAATATGCCAAAAGGCCCGTATTTTTCATGTTCATGTTTCAAGTGTATTTATGTTCTGTACAAGTCTTTGGTGCAAGATGATCTTCTCAAGATATACGGTCACCGACTTACACTGATCACGGTTAGATTTGTCTCCAGAAGGTCGGAAGTTGTGTGATAATGTCTGAAACCGTTTCTGTACTTTGAAACGTGTTATTGTAATGCGACCCTTAGCATAGCACACCCTTTACAGTTTTACTTAGCATTACACAAAAGTAGCTTTCTGTGAATTTAGTTAATATATCACCATCATCTGAAAGTAGCATTGTACAGTTGAAGACCTCGGTGAGATGGTAAAAGGTGAGGTGAAATGGGGTTTAACGTCGCGACCATGATTACTGCACTAAAACGTATTTTGGTATGACGCGGCCGGGGATTGAATCCCGGACCTTCCGCTCTCCGGGCGGACGCTCTACCACTAGACCACGGAGGCGGTCTCCTCGGTGAGAATTGATGAGAACTGTTAGTCTCATTGCGTATCAAACAGCATCATGTAAATACATAAAGGCGACGTTTCGGTATAGATCCGTTGTCAAGCAAGACTGAATCATGAGCATGGTATAGAATATATATAGTTGTGGAGGATTAGCAGTAACAACAGCTACGTACATCAGAGAGATTAACGTGAGTAGATTAAACAATGGCAATAGAACGGTAAAACCTGGAACACCATGATGGACAGAGAACGCATGATGAGGAAGCCAATGGGACAGAAAGCCAATTGAACAGGATTCAGTGTACATAGGTGGGGTGATTATTGCTTACTGAGTTCATAGTAGGCGGGTGGGATGAAATAGCCTTGATCTCTGTTGATTGATGTCTTGGGGCGGCGAAAGTGGACTGCTGCTGTTAATTTTCTTTTAGTGAAGTCATGGAGGTTGTTGGCGAGGATTTGGACGTTTTCCCAGTTGATGTGATTGGGGCAGTTGCTGATATGGTCTGGGGTGGCTGATTTACTGTCTGATTTGATGGTAGAAGTTTTGTGCTCTTTGAATCTAGTGTTGATGGGGCGGCATGTTTCACCTACGTAGGATAGGCCACAGTTACAGTTATAAACTACCCCTTTAGGTTCTTGGCGTTTGGTTGTGTTTCTGTCGTAGGCTCTTGGTAGAATAATAAAAACACATGTTTTATACATCCAGATCCACTTCGGTGTAAGTATTGATACAAAACAAAATACCATCAATATTATTAAGCACACATATTATCCTCATTGGATCTACTGAAACGCCCCCCTCGTAACCCCAATCTCCCCCGTCCCTCTTCTGTAAATAATACCACCCATGAGAGTTTACATTACAGAAACTGTTGTAAGTTGATAATGTTCATTAGATGACTACGTGGTGTTTGTGTATTTCCCTCGCCCTCTAACAGGCAAGTGTTGATACATGGTGTATTGTTCTGTGTGGGTTGAAATATTACATGACGCTGTCAGCAACACACTATCCCTCTCCCCCAGATAACAAGGACGCCGTGTGTGGCGGTGGTCGTCCCTGCGTATCAATCAGACAATGTTGCAGTCAGTGAGGGGGGGGGGGGGGGGGGGAGGGGGTCTGTACACACCGTCAACCTGGTCAATTAGCTGCAACACCTCCTGACATGCTACTACTAAACACACATGGGACTGTGTCCCAATCTGGGAAGGGTGCATATCACGAGTGCAGGTCTTTGATAAACTGTGAATGACATGCACGTCATATGTTGCACCGTAAATCCTTGGATAAACGCCGGTCATTTGTTTGTTGATTAACGCCGCACTCGGCAGTATTGCAGCTATATAAAGGAGTTTGTAAGTAGTCGAGAACGTCAACCTGGTCAATTAGCTGCAACACCTCCTGACATGCTACTACTACACACACACGGGACTGTGTCCCAATCTGGGATTGGTCGGGGCATATCACGAGTGCAGGTCTTTGATAAACTGTGAATGACATGCACGTCATATGTTGCACCGTAAATCCTTGGATAAACGCCGGTCATTTGTTTGTTGATTAACGCCGCACTCGGCAGTATTGCAGCTATATAAAGGAGTCTGTAAGTAGTCGAGAACGTCAACCTGGTCAATTAGCTGCAACACCTCCTGACATGCTACTACTACACACACATGGGACTGTGTCCCAATCTGGGATGGGTCGGGGCATATCACGAGTGCAGGTCTTTGATAAACTGTGAATGACATGCACGTCTTATGTTGTACCGTAAATCCTTGCATAAACGCTGGGTCATTTGTTTGTTGATTAACGCCGCACTCGGCAGTATTGCAGCTATATGAAGGAGTTTGTAAGTAGTCGAGAAGACCAGACAAACCAGTGAGTGATATCATGAGCAATGTCTCTCTCCGTCGAGGTACGTTGCCGGATCACCACATGCACTGAAATAAATAAAAGCATGCGACTCAACAGAAGTCTGGTGACTTTTGAACATTATTACATTTTAGGGGGCTAGGGAGGGGATATCGCCTTCGAGGCCAGAAGACCCTGAGAAAATGTGAGAGAGATACGAACACAGGAAATCCGCGTCACGAGCAAACACCTTGACCTCAAGGCTACTCCTGCTGTAGTCGATTAGCATACATACATGTAGCTGAAAACACGACATTACGGGATTTATTGCAGGCAACAGTTTTGAATTAAAAAATATGAAAATACATTTATCGAATTAAATCTCAAACAGATTCCTCTTCTATCGGGCTCTACTGCAGCGCGTGACACATTCATTATTAGCTTCTATGCACAAGGAACGAGATGTCGCTGTGCTGAGATTAATAAATCACGTGTCCAGATGATAACATGGCCATTTTAGCCGATGAACGCGCGAATGAATAAAGCTTTGTATTTAGCGTTAAGTTAGACATATATTTAGTTTTTATCAAAAATATGCAAACGCAGAAGGTATATACAGAAACATATCATCCCCATGTTTGTTTCAACCTTGACCGCTATAGGAGACCCTCGGTAGTGAGATAACCCGACAACCGATATACGATATTAAGAAGAAACAGCTGCGCGCCTTTCCATCTGATAGTGAACATTAGCTTCTTCTAAATAAATAAAATCCTATTTTTCATAAATTACGTTTCTCAAATGAAAAGAATCTTTCATAGCATTTAAGTTATAATGCCTTCTGACCCTAACTGCGGCCTCATTTCTGAGAGCTTCACTTTTACGTGTATTACCACATAGGTTTTCTTGCTGACTTAGCAAATCCTTTAGCCTTATCTTAACGGGATGCATTAAGAAAAGTGACATTCGTAGCGATCTGTAGTCAGAGTGTTCATCAGGGCTATCTATGTTTGTATAAAAAGATAGCTAATGTAATGGGAAATCACCCTTTTGGTTATTTTGACTGATAGCCTTCGGCTGCAATACGTCATAATCCCTTGTACCCATTCTGGGGACAGAACCACGGCTCTGCGTGAGGAGACAGCACTATCTACTTACCTACCTCATTACAATTATGATATGATTTTGAAGGAAGATGGGTGGTTATCATGTTATAATGTTTAATCTGTGTCCACAATTATTGTTTGTATACTTTATATGCATTGTATTGAAATGTATTTCACATGTGGCGCTTTGATAAACTATTTGGTGACGCATTATTATTTTTAACCGACACTTCGTTGTAATCGCGGGCGATGAGGTAGCCTAGTGGTTGAAGCGTTCGCTCGTCACGCCGAAGAGCCGGGTCCCATTCCCCACATGGGTACAATGTGTGAAGCCTATTTCTGGTGTCTATCGCCGTAATATTGCTGAATTATCACTAAAGGCGAGGTAAAACTATACTCCCTCCCGCCTTGTAATCGCCTAACCACACGGCATCGTATTAAAAATTTTACGTGCGCTTGTGGAGTAAACGCTTGACTTTGCATGTAAATAATGTGATTAATCGCTTATGTTGCAGATTCCCTTCACTGGCTCAAGCATGAACACTGCGCGGAGCTTTGGTCCGGCCGTAGTGATGTGGGAGTGGACGCACCACTGGGTAGGTCACTGAGTGAGTCGGTTGGTGGGATTCGGGTTGATGGGTTTATGTGTGAGTGAGTGAGTGAGTGAGTGAGTGAGTGGAATTTAACGCTGCTCTGACCAGTATGTCAGTCATATGAGGCGTGTCGGATTTATGTGGTAGAAAAGCCTGGCGTGTGCTGTGCTTACCGTTGTTAAGCCAAGTTAACGATCAGCAGCAGATCCTGGTGTGGCTAGGGGACGTAACAATGAACAGTGACTTGTGGCATCTTTGATCAAATGGTCGCTGAAACAACACATCTATAGTGCCATCCAGAGCAGTCACAACGCAATGAAGCTTCGTTAACTCAAAGTCCTTGTGACATTATTCGAAAGGCCGAGTGAACACTTTTTTTTATCGAATCCGTCTTCTATCAACGTTATATCGTGATAATGAAGTGACAATGTTTAACTGAATGTGAACTCCTTGTTCGAGTATTTACAAAACTTTTTTCGCCAGGTGCACTGAGGGGGTCCGTCATAGGGGCGTGGCAGCCATTACATTAATAATCAAGCTCAACTTTAAAGGTTTAACGAAACGTACATCGGTTATATGATCGTATATGAACATTTACACATTTTACTTCGGCGGGGGTAGTAGGTGGGTCCCTCATAGGGGGCGTGGCAGCCATTATTTTGAGACAATCAAATTCGAGTTCAAATGTTTAACACTTTCTCCACTGCTCAAATGAGCATTTACATTTCTTTCTCCCTCAGGTGTACTGGGTGGGGCCCATCATAGGGGGCGTGGCAGCCGGTCTCATCTACGAGCACGTGTTCGCCGTCAACGCTTCGATGACGAAAGCAAAGGCATGCATGTTGTCGAGCTCCTACGATGACGAGAAGTACGAGGCCCAGAAGCTGAAGATCCGTATCCTGGAGGAGGATGACGTGGAGACGATTAACCTGAAGGACGCGGAGGCGGGTGCGGGGGAGGGTGAGGGGGGTAAGTCGAACCACGACGACCCCCCGGTGGAGGTGTAGAACAGACTGTCGGTCGTGCCGCCACATCCCGGCGTTCTCTCACGTCTAACCTTAACTGCTACTTTTGTAGCTACGTACTGCCCCGTTTACACTTTCCGAAATTTACAGGTAGGAAATTGTTACGTATCCATTTTACAGGAACGTACTATCAGTCAGTGAGTTACGTTTGAGTTCACATGACTGCATTATGGCCGATGTGATGTAAAAGTGTAGCTCACTCTCATGTCCAATGCTGATACGAATACGGATTTCATTTCAATCAGACTCCCATATCTCTCCAAAATTCCAAAATGACATTGAAGTATACCAGAATATTTTGATTGAAATGTATTTGCTAAGTGTTGGCTATAAACACGAACGAGTCGCAATTCATATACTATATTTAGAATACTGCTGCAGGAGGGGGGTGGGTGTGTGTGTGTGTGTGTGTGTGGGGGGGGGGGGGGGGGGGGGTGGCAAGTCGCAATAACTTTCTTGTTGTCTTGAATAAAATCAGTACGATGGTAAGAGCGGAACAGTACGTAGATACCATTGTACAGCCAGCCAGTCTACACTATACATCGCGCAAGCATGACGCGTCCGGTCTAAATCAAGAATGAATATGTTTGTAACTGGAATATGTTTTACAGAAAAGAAATGCCACTCCGCATCAGTGTGTCATGTTTTGAACCACCGCTTACTCATTTCTGTGTTCACAAAAGAGCTTGCTGGGTGAAATGGAGAAGTGTATGGGGGGGGGGGGGGGGGGATTTTTTGCGGGCCATGGACAAAGGGACATAACTCGAACGGCCTTATTTGTTCCCCGTCTTATTAGGGACATCACGAAATCAGTATGCAACATGGAAGTATTAACAATGACACATTTACGTCTTCTGACAATTATGGTCTCTACTCGATATGTCTATATTCATATTATATCCCATTTTTTGTATGAAGGGTGCATTTATTTTAATATATATTGGCCGAGTTACTGAACAATTAAAAGTTTTCTTTTTTGTTGTTGATGAATTTGATTTTTGTAGGCTTTATAGAAGCTTCCGAATAGTAAATATTCAGGCATTAAGTGCAATGATCAAGTCGTTAGACACATGAAATCTCTCGAATGACAAACGAACAGCACTTGAAGAAATTTCATACTGCACCTGTGCAAGCTTGCCAACTACCTGTATTGCTCCTTAAGGGCGCGGAAGTTGGCCCTGTTGGCTAGCGATCTTACCGCTACGGTTGTCATGTTAACGTATTGGACTCAAGATCGTCTTAGTGCTAAGACCGCTTTGTGGAACGGGGCCCCGGATTTTTAAGAGTTTACTGAAAAGACACAGCTTTTGTTACTGTGGTACTATGACAATCGCAGTGTAGTGCTAGCCTCGTCAATATAAGGCATGCGTTTCCTAGACTATGCTGAATACGGTGCATATTGTGTTTGGTGCAATAACTTTTAAACACTTTGTACAAACCAAAGTTATACGGTAAGCGCTAGTGTTGCCATAGCAACCTTATTTATCCAGTATAATGTTACCATAGCAACGTATTATGTTCCTCCTAACAATCTGTGTTACTATAGGAACCGCCTGTAGTTAGTGCTACCTTGTAGGGTCGAGATCACCGTTTCTATGTGTGACCATATACGTCATAGGATTATCAATAAATCTCACAGAAACCTCCCATGCGTTTGTTCTGTATTACGTTCGTCTGTTACATGGGGCGGTGGGGTAGCCTTGTGGTTTGAGCGTTCGCTCGTCACGCCGAGAGCCCAGGTTCGATTATCCACATGGGTACAATGTGTGAAGCCTGGTGTCCCCTGCCGTGATATTGCTGGAATATTGCTAAACAAATGCGGCGTTAAACCATGCTCACTCACTCACTTACTCACTCACTCACTCACTCACTCACTCACTCACTCACTCGTCTGTTACATTGTGTCCCCCTGGGAAGGTACGTAAGTCCGGTATCCTTCAACGTATCATTTCATTTCTCTGTGATTTTAATCGTAGTATTTTTGTTGATTTTACCTCTTTGGCTAATCTTTCTGATCATCGCCAGTGGCCAGAGGGATGGTGTAAATCCTGCTGGGGTACCATGTAGGTAGCAGAAGTACCGTAAGTCCCCATGGTCCCTAGTATGGTGGCCTAACTTTGGTTGCTGGCGATCTACAGCCCCTTTTTTATATTGTGTCTGTTATAATCTGATTATTTTATTATTCTCTAACTAGTTTTACAATTATAATCTGTGATATTTTGCTAGTTGTTGTACTGTCCTTCGACGACAGGTCTTAATATATTATATAAATACATAACTTGCTCAAGTCACGATATGGCTGAAATAATGCCGCTGTGACTTTAAATTTTAACTCACTCACTCACTCACTGTTACATTGTGTCTCTCTCTCGATATGGTTTCACGGTTTTTAATGTTATATTAAAACAAGAAATGGCCACACAGCGTTATCGATGCGCTACACAACAGCAGAGAAAACAAGCCAGTGGGTGAGTTGCGTTTAACACTGCTTTCAACAGTATTCCAGTTATGTCCAGTGACAGCTTAATGTGGGAAGAAATCCGCAAGTGATAGCCTCGGACGTTTACCACTCTGATGAAACCCACGAGCACAGGTACGGTGCCGACAAACCGATCATATGTTTCTGGCGTGTCCAAGGGACGCAACTCTGCACAGCTAATTGCGGCGTCTTAGACACCTGGGCCACCTGTGTCCCAGTCAGTGAGTAAGTGAATATTGAAATAAGAACCCTGGATCCAATCGCTATGTTGTGAATCCGATTCGAACAGCACGATGCTAAAAACAGCCATTCAATCAAACTACTCTCTCTGGGGTGAGTGAGTGAGTTGGGTTTAACGCCGCTTTTAACGGTATTCCAATTATATCGCGGCGTGTCAGCTTAATGTGGGAGGAAAGCCCGAAGTGATGTAGGTCTCAGACGTTTACCACTTCGGTGAAACCGACGAGCTGACAAACCTGGAAACATAATCGGGGCGAACCGGGATTCGAACCCACAATCATAGGTTTCTGGCGTGCCCAAGGGACGCAACTCTGCACAGCGAATCGCGGCGCTTTAGACGACTGGGTCACCCGTGCCCCCCAACTCTCTCTTGGGGTGTAGTTCTGTGATAAGTGACAGATAGGAGTGATCGGGTGGTGAGGCCACTTCCAAAACGATGCTATGGTTGCGAGTGTGTGTGTGTGTGTGTGTGTGTGTGTGTGTGTTGTGTGTGTGTGTGTGTGTGTGTGTGTGTGTGTGTGTGTGTGTGTGTGTGTGTGTGTGTGTGTGTGTGTGTGTGTGTGTGTGTGTGTGTGTGTGTGTGTGTGTGTGTGTGTGTGTGTGTGTGTGTGTGTGTGTGTGTGTGTGTGTGTGTGTGCTCGGCTTGGACGAACCAGCGTTTAACCACTCAGCTACTTTAGTTTTGTTTGTTCGTTGCTTAACGCCGCCCTCAGCAATATTCCAGTTATATAACGATCCCGATCCCGTTAGTCGCCCCTTACCACAAGCATAGTAACCTGTTACGGCAAGCATGGGTTGCTGAAGACCTATTCTACCCCGGATCTTCACGAGCTACTTTAACATCCACGACTGGCAGATGTTTGAGCGAAACAAAGCAGTGTTGTCAAAGGGCCATCTTACCGACCTGACGTATGGATGAAGCCTTTATCGTCCAAGTCAACACGTAGCCAAACCACAATCTCATTAAAATCGGATCAGATTAGCGACAGAGAGAAGTAAGATCCGATTTAATGAGATTGGGCCAAACCAATACATGTCACCAGTACATGTTGTCATAGATACCAGAACTGACGGGTCCCCAGCTTTAGCCAAGGTTTATTAACACTAATCAACTATACAGTTCAAAATACGTATGGGATATGGTAAATGTATATAGACTCTTCTTGAGATACACGGAGGGTATTGGAAATACTGACACTAAATGTATGGTCACTTAATGACATCTTAACGTTCAAATACACCCCTTCCACTGCATGAGCATCAGGTCACGTGGTAGAGCGTCCACCCGGAAGGCGTAAGGTTGGGGTTCGATCGTTAAAACATGATACTTAATTAGATTTAGTGGATTAGAGCAAGCACACACACACACACACACACACACACACACACGCAAGCACGCACGCACGCGCACACATACACACACACACACACGTACGCACACACACCTACGCACACAAACACAGAGGCACACACACACAAACACACACTTACATCGCTATATAAGTGCAATAATGCTGAACGCGACGTTAATCCCTATTTCACCGAACTAAACTCACCTCACCCCACCTCACTTCTCTTCCAAATGATGACTGTAGAAAATGGATACGTTATAACTATTTCCCCATATCAGCGAAACAGCTTAGTTTTGTGGACAAACTGAGGAGAACCACTCGTGACTGTCCGCCACTGACGTCACTGCCATGTGAATCAGGAACTGAAAACAAGTGAAACACGAGTGATTCATTCATCTCGATCTGCTACTCATTGATGCGTGAATCTTTAAGTCCAGCGAGTCACTCATTCCACGGTGTACATAACCCAAAGATATCAACTTGAAGTAAGAATATGATACTTGTATAATGTTACTCTGTATATTTATTAACGCACATATTCACTAATTATCCCTGTCCACTATTCACGGGTGGGGTTACCCGACACTCACACCCCTTCACGCACCTGGCGGGTAGGGTCGTGTGCAACACCACAGTATAAAACCCCGATGTGGGCATTCACACATGTATATGCTGGCAATTTCGGGTGGCGTGTCAAACTTTACCAACAGATATACTAATACGTTACCATGGAAAAACGTGAAGTTCAACACGTGATCAGCGCGTTAACACAGAGGAGTACAGACTACCGGCGATCGTGTTCAGGTCGTGTCAGGAGTTTGTTCAGTACGGAAGATATGAAGAGGTCCAAATTCTTTCAAGAACTGACCGCAGAGTTCCTCGGGTCCGCCCTGTTGGTAATCTTCGGTTGCGGCTCCGCCGTAACGCTGGAACCCCAGTTAGCACCGACGGTACCGTCAATAGCCATCGCGTTCGGCCTGACAGTCGCAACGATCATCTGGTCACTTGGTCACGTTAGTGGTGCCCAGATCAACCCGTGTGTGACCCTGACACTATGCTTGACCAGGAAGATGACGTTGATGAAGTGCATGTTCTATTGTGCTATACAGTGTGTCGGTGCTATAGTGGGCGCCTACATTCTCTATGGACTGACCCCCCAAGACCGGCGTGGCATGCTAGGAATCACCCTGGTGTCCCCAAGGATCAGCCTGTGGCAAGGAGTGGGGGTGGAGATCCTCGCTACCTTTATGTTAGTCCTTGCCATCTATGCTACGATAGACTCCCGTATAACTGACCATCCCGGCTCCAAGGCCCTGAGTATCGGTTTTGTGGTGACCATGGACATTCCTTGGGCGGTGAGTATGTTGCTTTTATTTGTATTCATTTCAAAATATGAAATAACTGTCTTCAGAGATTAGTGTCATTCCTGTTGTTACGGTTTGCACATGTGGGTTACTACATCATGGCGAGTGATTCACATTGCAGAGGCAGTGTTTCACGTTTCTCAATCACAGAAGTTTTCACAGAGTTTATATGCAAAAATGAAATATAAACTTGGAGAGATTGTGGTACAGATCGTCATAAACCGTTAAAATTGATCTGGTTAAAATTGATCAGTCTCTCCAGTTAACCGTGCTTCACATTTTGTTTCACATTGCAAGAATTCAAAGGAGGTCACCATGCACTGTGCACTGAACAGCCTGTAAGTAATGCTGGGTGTTCTCGTCCAGCTGCAGCCATTATCCTTAGAATGTTATTTCTGCCACAAAATTTAATCACAAACTGTACAATTAACATCGTAGGACATTAATCAACCACAACGAGTGAGTAAAAGAATATATGTATACAGTATCCATGGTTAGGGCCCAATTGAGGTATAATACAATACCTAAAGTACTGTGACGTCGGTATATGTATATCCAGGATAAGGGTCAAGGTAAAGACATCCAGCTGTACTACAGTGCCACATTACTTGCGTTCATGTATTGGAACGACCGTGTATACACCACTGAGTGTAGATAATCTGTCTCACAGTCACTGTGACAGTGACTGTAATGCAGAAGCCCTATCTGAAGGAAGTTATCTGTTTCTATCAAAATGATATTTTTTCAGAGACTATAGTTAGTGAGTTGGGTTTAACGCCCCTTTTAACAGTATTCCAGTTATATCACGGCGTGTCAGCTTAATGTGGGAGGAAAGCCCGAAGTAATGCAGGTCTCAGACGTTTACCACTTCGGTGAAACCCACGAGCACGGGTATGGTGCTGACAAACCTAGAAACATAATCGGGGCGAACCGGGATTCGAACCCACAATCATAGGTTTCTGGCGTACCCAAGCGTTAGTCAAAGATGTAGTAGACTGACAGGGGAGCCACCGGATGGCTCACGAAGGGAGACAACTCCCTGTATTGTTCGAGCTTGGTCAACAAAAATGACCCATCTTTTTAATCGGGTAGTGGGTCATCATGGGTGATCAAGGGGGAAAGTTGTCACCACAACTCCCACTTATACTGAATTCCCTTTGACAGGTAGTTTCTGTGTAGAGGCATTGTGTCATTCCGAGTGACATTGCCCCGCGCCTTCAGGCAGACAGGTCATTTGTCTAGCCTTATGTACAACATACATAAGTCATTAAAATACATAACAATGGGTTAAGATATCCCCGTCAGCAAGCTGACAAGGTAAGGATGTCATCTATGGGATGACTCCACGCCCTGCTACATACTCCTCCATCAACAGAAGGCACGTCCCGGGCCGCATAGTAGGGTACTGAGGCTTATTTTGCTCAAATTTATTATGAACATGCTCAGCCCATGTTGGCGCCAATGTACCGGCCATGAAATTTCCGATTCCCGTGATAGGATTCGAACCACGGACCTTCTGATCCGAGGTCGGACGCCTTGTCCACATGACCAAAGAGGTTAACCCTGACAGCAAACTGACAAGGTAAGGATGTCGTCTGTGGGATGCCACTCCCTGTTACACATGTATTGTTAATTACTAAGCCAGACAGTGGGGTTACTGGTTAACTGGGCGCCTGTCTACTGGATACCTGTATCGGGTTATCATGCAGCCAACAGTTACGCCTCTGCAGTTTCTAGTATTCCCTATTTGGAATCCGTTTTCAACTATGAGCAGTGTGTTGGCGCTTTTTCTATTGTAGATCCAGTACACTGGGGCGAGCATGAACCCTGCAAGGAGTTTGGGACCCGTGGTTGTCATGGGAGTTTGGGATCACCATTGGGTGAGTGGTTCATGCGAACTCCACGATGAACATACCGAAGGTTTAAATCCACGTATAGGATTAGAACTCAACTAATACTGCACATCCACCGAATAGCTAATCCTTGTTCATCTGCATCTTCATCTACTGTAGGGGCGGTCGGGTAGCCTAGTGGTTAAACGTTCGCTCGTCACGCCGAAGACCCGGGTTCGATTCCCGACATGGGTACAATGTGTGAAGCCCATTTCTGGTGTCCCCCGCCGTGATATTGCTGGAATATTGCTAAAAGCGGCGTAAAACCATACTCACTCACTCACTCATCACTGTGACCACGCTTATGACATATATAGACAGTATCCCAGTTTCTAAGGTCTCGACGTTCACTTGACGTAGGCAGCACAACGTGGATCATGGTGCCTCGTCCTTCTCATTAACCTTTGACCTGTGGTGTGAGTGAGTGAGTGAGTTTAAACGCCGTTTTGAATATCAGTAATCACGGCACGTCAGTTTAATGTGAGAGAAAGCCCAAATCGATGTAGATCTTATCGTTACCACTTTGGTGAACGCAATCAACCAACAGGGTCATACTCAGGATTCTGTACAACGATCATCGGATTCTGGCACGTCTAAGGGACGCAACTATGCACACGTACAGTTAATTTGAAACGACTGGGCACCCCCTCTCCTGTCGAGACAAGACGACCATCATCGATTGAGCTTTCTGCATACCACTAATGTCTTTGAAATGTCGAAACGTTAAAACATTCAATCTACGGCCATTCGGAACATTCAAGCTATAATATATAACCGCGACAAAAACATTTCCATTATTTTGAGAAAGTTCTGAAAGCAGAACCCGTTGCACTATATCTTGAATATGTGTTAATGAATCACTATTAAATAGTGACGACAGTAGGACTTTGTGAATAGGTGTGTGTATCCTGCCCCACCAGTGGCACCCGTCGCAAAAGCATGCACAGGCAAGTCAAGTGTTCACCTGAAAAAGCACGGGAATATATGGTACAAATGAAAATAGGGAATTGCATTGACATAAATTTATTCACTGATGCGTCAAATTTGGAGATTCCTCCACACGCATGCTATAAAAACGGTTTGAACGCTTTTGAAAGATTGTTATTGTCAGCAATAGAGAGGTTGACCAATGTGTTGGTAGAAGTGTTATGAACTTGTCACCATCAAGTAGTAGAGTTTAAATTACGACCAAAAGACGTTAAAAGATGGTACTTGTTGTTACCCTGTCTGGCGCTCGGCATTAAGGGGCTAAAACAAGGACTGGTCGGCTCGGAGTCAGTATACTGTGTCTGAGTGGGGTATTCATGTTAAACTGCGGCATCGTATCTCAGTGAGCTAGCACTATAAATCGGCATCAGTCCGGACTAGTACAAGCAGCCACACAAACACACAAACGTACATGCACGTCACTATATAAGTGCAATAATATTGGACGCGACGTTAAACCCCATTTCACCTCACCTCGAACCGTGATGTAACCTGACCTTGCCATTGCAGGTTTTCTGGTTGGGACCCATCCTGGGCGCTCTCGCAGCTGGCGTCTTGTACGAGACGGTGTTTGCTGTCAACGCATCCGTCAAGAAAACCAGGGCATGTTTGTGTGGCGACATCTTCGACGAAGACCTACTGGATGCATACGAACTTGACTGCATCACTGTCGACAACAACGTAGACGAGTTGAAGCCGTAAAACTGCAAATCTTTGGACTGAAAATAAGACAGGAAAAAATACATTAGCTTGTATTGTATGTACGCCCTGCTAACCTGAACAATTCTGCGCTTCGTACCCGAAACATAACAGTATATTTGTATTGAAGAACATAATGGAAATATACAGGACATGACTTAAAATGATATTAATAAAGTTTGATGTGTAATAATAAACATATTTTTTCCTAAAAAAATTCAAACTGTTTTAATGTTTGTCAATGTTTTGGGGTTTTAAATCTCCACGTCACTTTCAAACATTGGACCAGCATGCTTCGCGGTTTTAAGGCCTGATGGAGTTATGATGTCGTACTGTACCGTTATAAGATGGACTTGTGGACGGGGCCCTGGTTAACATTCCCAGGTGGGAGGGGCCTCTGCACACAATTTCTGACCGGTAGTTGTGAGTGAGTATGGTTTTACGCCGCTTTTAGCACTATTCCAGCAATGTCACGGAGGGGGACATCAGAAATGGGCTTCACACATTGTACCCATGTGGGGAATCGAACCCGGGTCTTGGCGTGACGAGCGAACGCTTTAACCACTAGGCTACCACCGCCCCCCTGACCGGTAGTTAGGCTAGACGTGTTTGCTTTAATTTCCAGGGAATCAAAATTGCAAAAATAAACGGACAAATAAGCAATCTTTTGGAAATGGTTATTATATTGTATTTGTTCTGCAGTTCTGGCTGTGTTCCATTTCCTTGATGAGAATACGGGCGGTACCCTGCCTTTAGTCACACGCCAGTTCCTGCTTCACGTAGTGCCTAATCCAGGCCTGCTACATACAGGTACACGGACTGCTCCAGGAAGTCTGATTGTTTGTTTGTTTGTTTGTTGTTTAACGCCGCACCCAGCAATATTCCAGCTATATAACGGCGGTCTGTAAATAATCGAGTCTGGACCAGACAATCCAGTGATAAACATCATTAGCATCGATCCATGCAACTGGGATACGATGACATGCATCAACCAAGTCAGCGAGCCTGACCACCCGATCCTGTTAGTCGCCTCTTTCAACAAGAACTGTCGCCTTTTACGACAATAATGGGTTGCTGAAGACCTTTTCTACCCCGGATCTTCGCGGGTCGGTCCAGTAAGTAGTGGACAGCTGGCACAGGCAGAATAGGGATTCATGTTGATTGTTAGAAGAAACGTTTGCTGTTTGTTTATATACGTCAATTTCTGATGGCAATTTGTATAGTAATAAACATAGCAGTTTGACAGGTCTCAAGCACAATTGCAATATAATGTTGTAACGCATGGATGATTTCGTTAATACAGTCACAAGATAGGCGTCACATATGCAGTGTAGTCAAAAGTCAGCTTCATCAGTTTGCCCAGGAATTCCACGTGGAGCCGATGCTATATCATTCAGTCTGACAATTCCGTTTTTGATTTCCTTGTACATGAATTTTCCTGGAAGAATGACCTCGTATATTTACTTTCAAACTTCGAATCTGAAAGCAAACACAGGATTTTCATTTTGAAATGTAACTGCCTGTACAGAAAAGGCACTTGCAAGATTTATTCAATGTCAATTTCGTTTCCCTTTACCAATGCAACATTTTAATATTCGGGCTACGATATCCGTCATTATGGATTGGTCACTTCGCTTTCGGCATGCTGTCGGCTTGTTTAAATCAGAGACTCGCAGATCGCTTATTTTAGTCGCTGTTATCATTATATATAATAAAATAATATTTATGAAAACGTTGCGAGATTTTTTAATATTGATTAGAAAAATTGGTCCGGCTAGTCAAAATGGTCCTTGTACACATCCTGTAGAGTGTGGGTAAGTCGAGGAAATAGTTGTCGTGTGTGGTGGTAAAGTGTTGATCATGCTGTGAATGACGATAAATACCCTGTATTGGTCCATTCCTCCTGATCCTCCCTCAAACTGAATGTAGGGAGGGCTGTTTCTCCCGCCCTCTGATGCATGCTACTGTTTGTGTGTTAATTGTTACGCCGTGCTCAGCAATATTCCAGCTGTATGACGGCGGTCTGTAAATAATCGAGTCTGGAACAGAGAATCCAGTGAATGACATCATGAGTATCAATTGGGATATGCTGACATGCATCAACCAAGTCAGCGAGCCTGACCACCCGATCCCGCTAGTCGCCTCTTACGACAAGCATAGTCGCCTCTTACGGCAAGCATTGGTTGCTGAAGACCTATTCTGACGGATCTTCACGGGTCTGCATGGTACTGACAAATCCCGCCTGATCAGGATCTTCTTGACAGACGGTTGGTTGCGTTCTCTTGCATTCTGTTTAAAGTCAGTGATTGTTGTGCGTCTTCTGATATAGGTCTTCTCGATGGAGGTCCAGTGCTTGCAGGAAACATTCATCAGTCTTGTAGCTCAGACATACCAGACCGGAATCAAAAACAACTAGTGTATGACCTCTGTATGACACAATATATTATGCCCTGCTCTGTCACACCATACTAACGTCCCTAGAAGGGACATTGACGCGTTGCCCCCCTTACAAAATCACGCAAACAATTAACCAAAACACGACATCGCGACAAAGCTACAATTGGTCAAGTTGTCGTGCATATGTAACCGTTTGCTTGACTTTGAAAGTGCGACAAGGCGACAATGTCCCTTGTAGGATTCCATATCGCACTGTAAGGGTTTGTGCAACGTCATCTGATTATCTCTTCTTTGTATCTATGGATGTGTCAAGTGGTAAGTCATTATTGAAAACAAGACTATGAACCTGGGAGGAATTAGTCATCTGAACCAACTGCCGCAAGTGTTAATTGAAAACTGACCACCTCTTGCAATATACAGGCCGACCCAATATAGAAGCGGGTATAAACAAGGCTTTAGGGGTATGCTCGATGGGTGTAAGACAAAAAGGGACAAAACCAATGGGTGTGTGACAAAAAGGGACAAAACCAATGGGTGTGTGACAAAAAAGGGTATATATCAATGGGTGTGTGACAAATAGGGGTATAACCAATGGGTTTGAGACAAATAGGGGTATAACCAATGGGTGTGAGACAAATAGGGGTATAACCAATGGGTGTGAGACAAATGGGGGTATAACCAATGGGTGTGTGACAAATAGGGGTATAAAAAATGGGCGTGAGACAAATAGGGGTATAACCAATGGGTGTGTGACAAATAGGGGTATAACCAATGCGTGTGTGACAAATAGTGGTATAACCAATGGCTGTGTGACAAATAGGGGTATAACCAATGGGTGTGAGACAAATGGGGTATAACCAATGGCTGTGTGACAAATAGGGGTATAACCAATGGGTGTGTGACAAATAGGGATATAACCAATCGGTGTGTGACAAATAGGGGTATAACCAATGGGTGTGAGACAAATAGGGGTATAACCAATGGGTGTGTGACAAATAGGGGTATAACCAATGCGTGTGGGACAAATAGGGGTATAACCAATGGCTGTGTGACAAATAGGGGTATAACCAATGCGTGTGAGACAAATGGGGTATAACCAATGGGTGTGTGACAAATAGGGGTATAACCAATGGGTGTGTGACAAATAGGGGTATAACCAATGGGTTTGTGACAAATAGGGATATAACCAATGGCTGTGTGACAAATAGGGGTATAACCAATGAGTGTGAGACAAATAGGGGTATAACCAATTGGTGTGAGACAAATAGGGGTATAACCAATGGGTGTGAGACAAATAGGGGTATAACCAATGGGTGTGTGACAAATAGGGGTATAACAAATGGGTGTGTGACAAATAGGGGTATAACCAGTGGGTGTGAGACAAATAGGGATATAACCAATGTGTGTGTGACAAATAGGGGTATAACCAATGGGTGTGTGACAAATAGGGGTATAACCAATGTGTGTGTGACAAATAGGGGTATAACCAATGGGTGTGAGACAAATAGGGGTATAACCAATGGGTGTGAGACAAATAGGGGTATAACCAATGGGTGTGAGACAAATAGGGGTATAACCAATGGGTGTGAGACAAATAGGGGTATAACCAATGGATGTGAGACAAATAGGAGTATAACCTACACACACACACACACACACACACACACCTCATTTTATCTGGTAATCTCTCATGCATGATGCAAGAAACACATACGCTATCGCCCTGAAGCTACAATGTATCAGATAGCGCCAGTCATTGCATCACCCATATTTCGACCAGGGTTTCCCACTGCGGAGGTTCAAGAACAGCTTAATACAGTACAGATATATGGATATAGATATATGGACCTCATAGAAATGCTTTTACGGCTGCTTAAAGCAATACATATGTATATCTATACATTTGTAGATTCCCTTACGAATGATGCTTCGCCGCTATATATATACAAGTAAACAATAATCGTACTTAAATAGCAACGATTAATTCTCCATCATTAAAGGATTAACCAAAGATGATTAACCTGTGTTAAAGACAATGATTTTAGCAATTATGTTTCATTCATTAATGTAATTTATAATTTATATAAACTGAAGTCGGACACTATAACTAACCATAGTGTACTCGTGTCTGCTCAACCACTGTAGCATACGTGTGTGTAACTTATTAGTGTCAACATAGTGTTGCATACATGTGTGTACCTTGTCAATGTCAGCATAGTGTTGCATACATGTGTGTACCTTGTCAATGTCAGCATAGTGTTGCATACATGTGTGTACCTTGTCAATGTCAGCATAGTGTTGCATACATGTGTGTACCTTGTCAATGTCAGCATAGTGTTGCATACATGTGTGTACCTTGTCAATGTCAGCATAGTGTTGCATACATGTGTGTACCTTGTCAATGTCAGCATAGTGTTGCATACATGTGTGTACCTTGTCAATGTCAGCATAGTGTTGCATACATGTGTGTACCTTGTCAATGTCAGCATAGTGTTGCATATATGTGTGTACCTTGTCAATGTCAGCATAGTGTTGCATACATGTGTGTACCTTGTCAATGTCAGCATAGTGTTGCATACATGTGTGTACCTTGTCAATGTCAGCATAGTGTTGCATATATGTGTGTACCTTGTCAATGTCAGCATAGTGTTGCATACATGTGTGTACCTTGTCAATGTCAGCATAGTGTTGCATACATGTGTGTACCTTGTCAATGTCAGCATAGTGTTGCATACATGTGTGTACCTTGTCAATGTCAGCATAGTGTTGCATACATGTGTGTACCTTGTCAATGTCAGCATAGTGTTGCATACATGTGTGTACCTTGTCAATGTCAGCATAGTGTTGCATACATGTGTGTACCTTGTCAATGTCAGCATAGGCACCTGATAGGATACACCCATGTGGTTGGCCTATCGTGAATTAAGGCTACGGACAATAAGTATTGTTAGAAGTCTTCGTCCAACAAAGGTAATTGCGTCAGGACCAACGAAATACATTTCTCCACTGTTCACTGCACTGCAATAAACGCTGAACACCAGCTGTCTATATCACAATCCCTGAACCATATTATTTTCCCTTGCGCCCAGCCATTCTGTAATGCAAAAGCCCTAAATGAACGAGTGTAGAATTTCCTCATGTTCTGAATCTACCTTCTCACGAGACTACTTTGTTTTCATCAAAATTATAAATTTTTAGAGACTAAGCGTTAGTCCATTTCCCCATTTCTGTTTATCTCCAGCCTACAGCTGCTGTTAATTCCACGTCAAAACACAGTGATACTGATAGTCCATGAAATATGTATTTCTCACAAAATATATATGTGTAGATCTCCCTTACTACACTATTGCAACATCCGTTACCACATCACAGCATAATCACGGAGACACGAGAAAGATCTCGAACGGTTCACATGGCGATAAATGTAACATATGTTTATCGCAATGATAATCACACAGAATCCGTGTTGTCGCAATGTGAATATCATAGTGGCTTGGTTGGTGCAATGTGAAACACTGTGACCGCATTTTTGCAATGTGAACCTATCGTGACCTAATTGGTTCAATGACTGTTGGTACATACTCTGGGCCGTTCAAGATAACCAGTCGTGCAGTAATGTCTCATGTTGCCTGTCGCGTGTCTCAGTCATCAGAAACCACAAAACAACTTGTGTCCCACTTGCACAACAGGCAGACAATACAGTTCTATCTCACACTTTGCCACCATGATATTCGTTATTTGATAGTCAACCTTGACATACACATGTGGAACACGTGCTCCCTGCTGGGGTGGATCGTGAAATATGTGCTCCGGTTCATCTGGTTTTTTGTTCATACTGGTTATTTATCTCCGTTGATACTGGCTTTTTAACTACTTCAAGTAAACGTAACATTCTTTAGATGCTGTTTTGTTACTGATAAAAATTAAAAAATGCGGCAAAGAGGGTTTGGGTGATCCTGACACAGTCAGGCTGGTTAGGCATCATCAGCTCAGGGCCCTTGCCCCCCTCTACACGCAGCCCAGACAGCGAATGGGACTTCTCCCAGGAAGCGCTGCCTAGTTGAACCCACCCAGAACCTTTCGGAAAATGTGAAGACTCCCCAACACTGCAGCCTTCTGCATTACCAAGATTGTAAGAAGGGCTGTATTTCTGGCAGCAAATCCGGGTACTCGCCTAATGTCAGTCAACAGGTTGGGAGGCACCGAGAACAATGGGGAGTCAGACAACTTGGTACTTGGGATGCAAGCGTGACATCTTTGGCCCGTCTGGCCGAAAAACCTGGGTTGGATTCTTAACATGGGTACAATGTGTGAAGCCCTTTTCTGGTGTCCCCCGTCGTGATATTGCTCGAAAATTGCCAAAAACGGCGTAAAACCATACCTACCTGTTATTATTAGTGTTTAATTTATTATAATTGAGACATGTTACACATACATCGGTCATGTACAGAGTGGGAAAAGAGGTAGCATCGTGCACTTTGTGTAGTCGTGTGTTGAGACCTAAACATGTGAACCCCGTCACCTGAAGCACCGAATCAGTTCATGCAACCACGATTCACATTGCATGGAGTGACGTCATGAAATGTGAATCAGTCGGACAGTGACACACGTGATAAGAAGTCAGTACCGCATGGGGGAAGGGTGGTATTACAGAGAGGTGCTCGTGGGTTTCAAATTGATTGCGTTTGACATTAACGCATTTCAAAGCGGTGTCACGTTTTCGCAGAGGTCAAAGAAAATCAGATTGTTTCGGGACCACAATCGACATATCACGCATGTTGCATAGTTTTTATGCGATGACATTTTGTTGTTTTTTTCGTCGTGTCGTCTGCTTTCGTCATGTTTATGACCTTGTGGCATTGGTCAGCTTCAGAAACAATCACGGCTGAAACCTTGACTAACGAGTTCCCTGAAGCTCTGCGAGACGTCTCAGGCATTTAAACTGTTATCACCGAACACACGAGATATGTGTGCGATGACCCCACGTCACTGGACAACGGGATATGTGTGTACCGTATTTCCTGTATTAAGAGGATGGGACTCAAATGCACGCCGGCTTGTAATTGAGGCCCGATGATACTCTCTCCGAAAAATAAAGGCCTGGGCCCCGTTCCACAAAGCGATCATAACTACAATCAATCTTAGAGACTTACGTCGATTCTAAAATTGTCTTAGCTAAAGTTTACAACCGTTCCACAAAGCGATCTTAGGGTGATTGTAACTTTACAAGTTCTTAAGTAGCCGATCTTAACAAAGATCGGAATCTTCAGCCATAAAGATACGAAATTTTCCCTTGGAGTGGCCTCCCTTGGTCATGTTTAGCAGACGACGCATTTCCTTGCACACCATAATAAAAGTCGCCATCTTTGTTGTTATGGTACAATATTTAAGATCGATTTTAGCAATCCTAAGTCGGTCCGGGGCAACTTAGCATTTTGATCTTAACTTACAACTCTCTTAGTTAAGATTGCTTTGTGGAACGGGCGGCTGATCGTAACAAAAATTTGAGATCGCATACTTAGTGAGTTACAATCAACTTAGCCCTAAGATCGCTTTGTGGAACGGGGCCCTGGCCTCTATGAGAGGCCGAATCAATCATTTGATGAAATCAATTATCGTCATCGCATTAACTTGTGGTGTGTAATGGTTCCTCGGTTCCGCACAACAATTAACGTTTCCTGTAAACGTACCTTTTGTATGACTCTCAAAATGGGGATTTGGTTCATAGTGAGTTGCCACTGTGGCAGAGTTAAACAGAATAGACACGGGGCCTGTGATAGACGCCGGTCTACGTTTTGCGCGAAATTATTGGACGCCCGGGCGCCTAATACAGGAAATACGGTATCTGGACACCGGTCAAATGTTACCCGACGTCTCCGGACACACGGGCATGTCAACCTCTACTGGACGCCTCTCTTCTGTGTGATGTCCTCGACCTATATCACAGGGACCGGGTATCCGACCGGGGCCATGTAATTATATATATAACTGACGATTTCGCAATGTTTGTATAGATCTCAGACGTCCCACTCCAGGAGAATATGACCCAATGCAAATAGGACCCGCATGAGCTGATCGTGTAATCGCCGTTATTGTGGAGCTGTAGTCTGTCAGACGTAAACAGGTACAGGTGATAGAGGGGGCGGAGTGGGCGAGCTGTATTTTGTTATCAAGGAGACTGTCATGGACTGATAGGTCTAGACTCTTCTCCGGGTTGCACACGACACCCTCCCTCACTACCCTCATTTTCCCTACATGCGTAGTTCTGTGTGCAGCTATTGCATATAAAGGCCAGGTCACAGATTCACATGTCACTGTTAAGTTAAACCAGCAAAGTTGACGATCTCTATATAACTGTCCACAAACGTACTGGAGCTTGAGAAAAGTGTTTGCAGTGGTGCAGGTGTGTCGTTATACACGTGTATAGGTGTGACGTAATTAAGGTGATACAGATCGCACTAATGTGATATTATTCAGCTGGTACGGTGTGACATGATACCGATGGTACAGCTGTGACATGATACATATGGTACATAAAGGCGAAGACTGAACGGACCCGGCACAATCAAGGGCGTTGAGGCTAATATACAGACATCGCCGTCGGTGTTCAAACGATGTCGCGAGAGGCATTTGTGATGGACGTCGAGGTGGATGGGGGAAAGACGGGATCAAGATACAGTATGTGGAATCCGTTGAAGAACCTGGCCAACATCAGTGACTGCACCTTCCCACAGTTTCCGAAGGCACTGCTAGCCGAGTTTCTGGGTTCCGCCATTCTGGTCATCTTCGGATGCGGGTCAGCGCTAACAGTGGAGGAGAACCTTAAGCCCAACATTGTCTCCATCGCCATCGCCTTCGGCCTCACCGTCGCCACCGTCATCTGGGCGTTGGGTCACGTGAGTGGTGCCCAAATTAACCCTTGTGTCGCCGTGGCCATGTGCGTGACGCGAAAAATAACCTTCGCCAAGGCGCTAGCCTACAGTGTGACGCAGTGTGGTGGTGCCATCATTGGGGGCTATGTGTTGCACGCTTTAACTCCGACAGGGAGACGGGGTAATTTAGGGGCGACCCTGGTGCACAGTGAGGTTGGTGTGTGGCAAGCCGTGGGGGTGGAGTTCCTGGCAACATTTGTCCTTATTCTAGGAATCTTCGCTACATGTGACTCCCGTATTCGTGACCATCCCGGCTCCAAGGCCCTCAGTATCGGCTTTGTGGTGACCATGGATATTCCCTGGGCGGTAAGTAAATAAGGGATATTGTATGTTTTGAAGTGATGGAAACTAAAATCTGTTATGCTAAAGTATTATTCCAAAAGAGAGTACTAAACTGCCGGGGGGAAAATGATACATCCATGTTTGATGGTGGCTAGAAACAAACAAGAAATGGTTATTCGATGGTAAGTGAGTGAGTATGGTTTTACGCCGCTTTGAGCAATATTCAAGCAATATCACGACAGGGGACACATTAGCGCTACGACGGTGGTATGTCTTGCTCCACTAGGCGACATTAGCCCTACGACTGTCGCCTGTCTTGCTCCACGAGGCGACATTAGCGCTACCACTGTCGTCTGTCTTGCTCCACGAGGCGACATTAGCGCTACGACTGTCGTATGTCTTGCTCCACTTGGCGACATTAGCGCTACCACTGTCGTCTGTCTTGCTCCACTAGGCGACATTAGCCCTACGACTGTCGTCTGTCTTGCTCCACTAGACGACATTAGCGCTACGACTGTCGTCTGTCTTGCTCCACGAGGCGACATTAGCCCTACGACTGTCGTATATCTTGCTCCACTAGGCGACATTAGCGCTACGACTGTCGTCTGTCTTGCTCCACGAGGCGACATTAGCGCTACCACTGTCGTATGTCTTGCTCCACGAGGCGACATTAGCGCTACCACTGTCGTATGTCTTGCTCCACTAGGCGACATTAGTGCTACGACGGTGGTATGTCTTGCTCCACTAGGCGACATTAGCCCTACGACTGTCGTATGTCTTGCTCCACGAGGCGACATTAGCGCTACGACTGTCGTATGTCTTGCTCCACGAGGCGACATTAGTGCTACGACGGTGGTATGTCTTGCTCCACTAGGCGACATAAGGGCTACGACTGTCGTATGTCTTGCTCCACTAGGCGACATTAGCGCTACGACTGTCGTATGTCTTGCTCCACTAGGCGACATTAGCGCTACGATTGTCGTATGTCTTGCTCCACTTGGCGACATTAGCGCTACCACTGTTGTCTGTCTTGCTCCATTAGACGACATTAGCGCTACGACTGTCGTCTGTCTTGCTCCACTAGGCGACATTAGTGCTACCACTGTCGTATGTCTTGCTCCACTAGGCGACATTAGTGCTACCACTGTCGTACGTCTTGCTCCACTTGGCGACATTAGCGCTACCACTGTCGTCTGTCTTGCTCCACTAGGCGACATTAGCCCTACGACTGTCGTCTGTCTTGCTCCACTAGACGACATTAGCGCTACGACTGTCGTCTGTCTTGCTCCACGAGGCGACATTAGCCCTACGACTGTCGTATATCTTGCTCCACTAGGCGACATTAGCGCTACGACTGTCGTCTGTCTTGCTCCACGAGGCGACATTAGCGCTACCACTGTCGTATGTCTTGCTCCACGAGGCGACATTAGCGCTACCACTGTCGTATGTCTTGCTCCACTAGGCGACATTAGTGCTACGACGGTGGTATGTCTTGCTCCACTAGGCGACATTAGCCCTACGACTGTCGTATGTCTTGCTCCACGAGGCGACATTAGCGCTACGACTGTCGTATGTCTTGCTCCACGAGGCGACATTAGTGCTACGACGGTGGTATGTCTTGCTCCACTAGGCGACATAAGGGCTACGACTGTCGTATGTCTTGCTCCACTAGGCGACATTAGCCCTACGACTGTCGTATGTCTTGCTCCACTAGGCGACATTAGCGCTACGATTGTCGTATGTCTTGCTCCACGAGGCGACATTAGCCCTACGACTGTCGTCTGTCTTGCTCCACTAGACGACATTAGCGCTACGACTGTCGTCTGTCTTGCTCCACTAGACGACATTAGCCCTACGACTGTCGTCTGTCTTGCTCCACGAGGCGACATTAGTGCTACGACTGTCGCCTGTCTTGCTCCACTAGGCGACATTAGTGCTACCACTGTCGTCTGTCTTGCTCCACTTGGCGACATTAGCGCTACCACTGTCGTCTGTCTTGCTCCACTAGACGACATTAGCGCTACGACTGTCGTCTGTCTTGCTCCACTAGGCGACATTAGTGCTACCACTGTCGTATGTCTTGCTCCACTAGGCGACATTAGTGCTACCACTGTCGTACGTCTTGCTCCACTAGGCGACATTAGCGCTACGACTGTCGTCTGTCTTGCTCCACTAGGCGACATTAGCCCTACGACTGTCGTATGTCTTGCTCCACGAGGCGACATTAGCGCTACCACTGTCGTATGTCTTGCTCCACAAGGCGACATTAGTGCTACGACGGTGGTATGTCTTGCTCCACGAGGCGACATTAGCGCTACGACTGTCGTATGTCTTGCTCCACGAGGCGACATTAGCGCTACGACTGTCGTATGTCTTGCTCCACGAGGCGACATTAGCCCTACGACTGTCGTATGTCTTGCTCCACGAGGCGACATTAGCGCTACCACTGTCGTATGTCTTGCTCCACGAGGCGACATTAGTGCTACGACGGTGGTATGTCTTGCTCCACTAGGCGACATTAGCGCTACGACTGTCGTATGTCTTGCTCCACGAGGCGACATTAGCCCTACGACTGTCGTATGTCTTGCTCCACGAGGCGACATTAGCGCTACCACTGTCGTATGTCTTGCTCCACAAGGCGACATTAGTGCTACGACGGTGGTATGTCTTGCTCCACTAGGCGACCTTAGCGCTACGACTGTCGTATGTCTTGCTCCACGAGGCGACATTAGCGCTACGACTGTCGCCTGTCTTGCTCCACTAGGCGACATTAGGGCTTCGACTGTCGCCTGTCTTGCTCCACTAGGCGACATTAGCGCTACGACTGTCGTATGTCTTTGGGCCCATCTCAAGTCATACTATCGTATGGGATTTATGCACCTGGCAAGTTTATCACCCGTAAACGCTCTTTCAAAATTGCCTGGGTTAGGGCACTCAAGCCCTAACTCTACATAAAGGATTTTCAATACTTCTAGCCAGGGATAATGTTTTTTTCTTAAAATATCGAGACATGTCAAGTCGGAGATGAATAGAGTTATTTATAACTGCACACCGACAATAATGTGTCTGCTGTGCAAATTTAACTGCACTTTACAAATATCGACATTTGCGACCCGTGAAGATCCAGGGTAGAATAGGTCTTCAGCAACCCATACTTGCCGTAAAAGGCGACTATGCTTGTGGTAAGAGGCGACTAACGGGATCGGGTGGTCAGGGTCGCTGACTTGGTTGATGCAGGTCATCGTTTCCCGATGGCGCGGATCGATGCTCATGATATCATCTTTTGTCTTCTTCTTTTTTGTCTTTATTTGTTGTTTAACGCCGCACTCAGCAATATTCCAGTTATATGACGGCCGTCTGTACATAATCGAGTCTGGACCAGACAATCCAGTGATTGACATCATGAGCATCGATCCACGCAGTTGGGATTCGATGACATGCATCAACCAAGTCAGCGAGCCTGACCACCCGATCCCGTTAGTCATAATATCAATCACTGGATTGTCTGGTCCAGACTCGATTATCTACAGACCGTCGTCATTTAGCTGGAATATTGCGTCATATTGGAGAATATTGGAGTGTGGCGTCAACCATCATGAAACAAACACATCGACATTTGCCGTCTGAATATGGCTTTGTCCAGGGGCGGTATTCATAAAAGAACTTAAGTCTGAAAAAAACCTTAAGTCTTGAAAAAAAGTTTTCACCTTTTCTGACTTAAGTTTTAAGATTTGACTTAAGGTCGTTAGGCATACCAGAAACCTGTGATCGTGGGTTCGAATCCCGGTTCGCCCTGATTATTTTTCTAGGTTTGTCAGCACCATACGGCCCGTGCTCATAGGTCAACGAAGTTGTAAAAGACTCCTGCTTTTCCTTCCCCATCAAGGTGACAGGACGTGATGTAACTAGAATAAGGTTCAAAGCCGCGTAAAAACTCACCCACTCACTTACTCACTGTTATTTTAGAAATAAACGACTCGTGGTCGTTGTTTATCGTACAATAAAACACTTCAGGGAGAATAAACCACTCAGGGTATGAGATATCAACATTATGTACGGACTCTAAGGATGATGATAAAATGTACAAGCTTTAAAAATATTAACCCGTATTTAAATAATGATGACTCCCTCAATAGAATCCGACCTCGACCACGTCGGACAGGACCATGTAATGCACAGGTATATCCGCATATTCTCACAATCGTCACGTCGATTATCTGTCGATTATCGATTATCTTTTCTCCCAATACCGATTGTGATATCTCTCTCACCAATGGATGTAGGCTAATGCGATCGTTCATCTTCCCGAGGCAAGAGAGTTAACTGACTATAAAAGTCCAGTTACCACCCTTGCCGAACTAGGCTGGTATTTTGGAGTTACATTTTGGCTGGACTAACGAGTCTATGCATAGTCCAATCAAAATCGCGCACCGAAATCGAAATCCGGTTCGTAAACTGTCCTGCAGATTTCTGTCGATTGCAGGATTTGCAAAGCATGTGCACCGCCAACTCGTTGTCAGCAGATATTTTCCCAACCTTTACCAGTTTTAAATCAAGGTGCTCACGTGATTTGATGCATTTCGCGATGTAAGACCCTTTTTATCACAATATAGATCTTGATTATCGATCAGATCGTCCTGGCCGGGCGCCACCATTTTGTGTGAGGCAAACACAAGTGGTACGAGAGGTGGAATCTGATTGGTCCATAGGAGAGGCTTAGAAGGGACATAACTGGTAATAGCCACTGGTGGCGCTTCGATCGAACCCAGTGATTCCAGCCTAGTTCGGCAAGGGTGGAAACTGAACTTTTAAAGTCAGTTAACTCTCTTGCCTCGGGAAGATGGCGATCGTTCGGCCTTTGCGTATTTCTACGTTGCCCAGCTACATCACCATGGAACAACTCACTGTACACTTCCCTTTAAACATAATAGAACAACGTTATTATCGTGAAATAACCACCCTTCGTTCTTCATTGTTCTTTGCGATTTTCGCGTAGCTATCTTATATATATAGTTGTATACATAATGTTCCCAAAGGCAGATTGCATTTGAATATCGACTAACAGTCATTGATTGTACACTGTCAGGGCAACAGATACGACGGACTGTTGGAAGTATGTCCTGTCGCTGTATAGATCGGTGTGTGTGTTTGGATTAAGTCTGTCATACAGACCCTGAAACAAATATATCCAATACAGCCCATGCAAATCTATAATGTTTGGCAAGTCTAGATTACTGCAGTATATGAAAATGAAGAAAGTCTCTGGGCTCCTTTTTATTAAATTTTATATAACTATAATTTAACAACTGGGTTTTTTTCTGTTAAATATGTTCATTTCAGAGCCTAGATGTTAGTCTAGTTTGTATTTTAAGTCAATATATCTATTCTTCGCAGGCTCAGTACACCGGTGCAAGTATGAACAGTGCAAGGAGCTTGGGTCCCGCCTTGGTGATGGGCATCTGGGATCACCACTGGGTACGCATGCACGCGATCGCCTTAATGAATTCTTGGGATCCTTCAATAAAGTGATCTTAGCTCAATGCTTGCCGTGTGTCCTGTGCTTTCACATTGGCATACATGGTGTTAAGATCGCTTTGTGGAACGGTGCCCTGGTTTGGATTGACTGGAATTCAAACCAAATAATGTTGAGTCAACTTTCTTTTTTCAAACTCGGTGGACCAGACAATCCAGTGATTGACGCCATGAGCATCGATCCTCGATCCCGTTAGTCTGACCACCCGATCCCGTTAGTCGCCTTTTACGGCAAGCATTGTTTGCTGAAGACTATGTAAGAGGCGACTAACGGGACCGGGTGGTCAGTCTCTCTGATTTGGTTAATGCATGTCATTGTATCCCACACTACGTATCACTGGATTGTCTGGTCCAGACTCGATTATTTACAGACCGCCGTCATATAGCTGGAATATTGCTGAGAGCGGCGTTAAACAACAAACAAAAAAACCCGGATCTTCACGAGTAAAGTATATAACGAAATTTTTTCCATGATTTTTATGCAAAAGTGTCTGCCCGGAGAACGCAATATCTGGGGTTCCACCTGAATATATTTGATTTATATATATTTGACTTATCATTCAGAGAGGAGACCTGCATCACTTCGGGCTTTCCTCCCACATTAAGCTGACACGCCGTGATATAACTGGAATACTGTTAAAAGCGGTGTTAAACCCAACTCACTCACTCACTATAATTCAGAGAGACACTATGCTGGACGTGTCTTTGACCCATCATAGGCTCTTTATTTGTTTGGCCATGCAGGGGGCACGGGTGGCCCAGTCGTCTAAGGCGCCGCGATTCGCTGTGCAGAGTTGCGTCCCTTGGGCGCGCCAGAAACCTATGATTGTGGGTTCGAATCCCGGTTCGCCCCGATTATGTTTCTAGGTTTGTCAGCACCATACCCGTGCTCGTGGGTTTCACCGAAGTGGTAAACGTCTGAGACCTGCATCGCTTCGGGCTTTCCTCCCACATTAAGCTGACACGCCGTGATATAACTGGAATACTGTTAAAATCGGCATTAAATCCAACTCACTCACTCACACTCAGAGATACACTTCAAACAGCAAGTTTCTTTCATTTTATTTCTTTCAATCATTTTTTCTTGAATAGCTTTGCAATTGTGACATACTGCAATTCCAACCGTCTACACTAAGCTTTAAAAGAATACAGTGTTCAGATTGCATTTATGCATGGGCTACATGTCTGTGTTTCTACACTGACAGGTGTACTGGCTGGGGCCCATGTTGGGTGGTGTTGTCGCGGGGTTGGTGTATGAACAAATCTTCGCCGTCAACGCATCTGTTCTCAAGACGAAAGAATGGCTGGGATCACGTGACTATGACGAGAACAGGATATACCGATATATGTCGTCACGTGACCGGAAGACAAGGAAAGGGAGCAGTTTGGAGGCACGGTTGGAGGATAACGACGCGGTTTGGCAGTCCCTAGTTTAACGTGCTGGCGCTACATGTGGTCACACGCCGCTCAAGAATTATTCCCCTTCATTAAATGGGTACAATGTCTTGACCAGGTTTCTGAATAGTGTGATGTCTCCACGTAATATGCATTTATGCAGACGGTCCCAAACACGATACTACACCCCAAAACAGATCCGTGAAGATCCGGGCTAGAATTGGTCTTCAGCAACCCATGCTTGCCGGAAGAAGCGACTAATGGGATCGAGTGGTCAGGCTCGCTGACTCGGTTGATGCATGTGACGTATCCCAATTGCGTGGATCGATGCTCATGATATCAATCACTGGATTGTCTGGTCCAGACTCGATTATTTACAGACCGCCGTCGTATAGCTGGAATATTGCTGCGTGCGGCGTTAAACAATAAAAAAATAAAAAATAATAGTGTGATGTCTCCACGTAATATACATTTGGACGGACGGTCCCACCAATGATATTTCTTACCAAACAAGCATCATCCTGTGACCAGAACTCAACTGATATCAATTTTGGTTACATTCTCCACGAGTTCATGAGTTTACACTTTGCCTTAACAGGCCATTTTCTGGCTATTGGCAAAATCCATAATACTCTATTTATAAGGGCAGATGCCTCCAACAAAATGATTTCGGTGTGCACAATATCCTGCGTAACTCTATCCCCCTAATCAAAGACGTATGTTGTATATACGTCTTTGCCTTAATCCATGGACAAGGGCAGTTTGTGAAGGACTCGATGTGTACTTTCAAGTATCCAACACGAGCCCTGTTCTCTGCCAACAACACCGGGCAACCTCTGTTAGTCAAAATTACAATAGTCAAGTCAAGTCAAATTTATTTATTGCATTTAAAGCCCCATATACAAAGGAGCTGCATATAAGTAGTTTAACATATTCGGATATACACTAATGTTTAACAATTCGTTCTGAGAGAAATTGCATTTTATTTACACATAAAGCTAGTTTTAATGTGACAGCATCATATTTTGAAGAGAGAAGAGAAATAAAAGCAGGTCCTGGATAAATAGACAGATTGTTGTCTGGTATAAACTTGTTTCTTAGCTCTCAATAATGAGGACATACAAAAGTAAAATGAATTTCATTTTCTATAGCTGAATGACATAATGGGCCTACCCTCTTCGATGCTTCAGTGGATATTTTTCTTCCTTCATTTACCATGAGATCTAAGAATACAAGCCTAAACTGAATACATGGACGTCGAAGTTAATATAGACAAGTATTTTTTCTGGTTGACTAAGACTCTTAAAAGTTATACACAAGTCATCCCTTGAACTGTTTTCTCGAGTGGAAGGCCTTTTTTTAGTGCAACATAGGGCTGTTCACGAAATTGCTTCATAAAAGAGTTTTACATCACCAATTGTTTGGTTTAACCATACAAAGCCGTAGCCACGACAAAACAAAGGGTTTCTAATATGTGATGCCCATGTTACTTGGCCCATGTCATCTATATGTACAAGCATATTATAGGTCTGATAGAATTGTGTGTAGCCTGTGTTCAGGAGAGTATCTGATGAAAGCATTCGGGTATTTCTTGCTTGACTCTATCGTCATGTTTATAAATGAACGACCGTCTTGTATTGGTAGGCCGACATTGGTTGTATCTTGTTGAATGAAGACTCTCCTCAGAACAGTGAGTGAGTGAGTGAGTGAGTATGGTTTTACGCCGCTTTTAGCAATATTACAGCAATATCACGGCGGAGGACACCAGAAATGGGCTTCACACATTGTACCCATGTCGGGAATCGAACCCGGGTCTTTGGCGTGACGAGCGAACGCTTTAACCACTAGGCTACCCGACCGCCCCCTCCTGAGAACAGACAGTGCATGTCAAAAGTTGTGAGTAAATGATATCAATCGCTGAGTGTAACAGTGTGTCCCTGGGGACCGAACGATAATGACGATTAAAAAAACTGCAAATGTGTGCATAGTTGTTATTTAAGAGAATGCTAATAAATATTGATAATAAGTCGACAGTTGTAAAAGCTTGCTGTAAAAGGCGACTATATTTGTCGTGAGAGGCGACTAACGGGAAATGATGGTGAGGCTTGCTGACTTGGTTGATAAATGTTATCGTATCCCAATGATGTAGATCGATGCTCATGATGTGAATCATTGAATTGTCTGGTCCAGACTCGATTATTTACAGACTTCCGCCATATAGCTGGAATATTGATGAGTGCGGCGTCAAACAATAAAGAAACAAGCAAAACACATTGATGGCGCGACTGTCTATGTTGATGAGTGAGTGAGTTATAATTTAACGTCGCATCGGCATTATTTCAGCCATATAGCGACGAGAACACGTTCATATATATTATATTCAATTTAGTTTTGAGTTATATTTAATAGCAAATTTGTCAATCACATTTGGGCATAAAAATCTATGCTGATCATAAACGGACAGTGTGCCCTTAGTGTTTGCAGGTAAAAACGGATGTTCTTATGATAGTGAGTGAGTGAGTTGGGTTTAACGCCGCTTTTAACAGTATTCCAGTTGTATCACGGCGTGCCAGCTTACTGTGGGAGGAAGCCCGAATTGAAGGAGGTCTCAGACGTTTACCACTTTGGTGAAATCCACGGCACATGTGTGGTGCTGACAAACCTAGAAACATATACTGAGTCAAATTAAAAACTTCACATTTTTAAAAGTAATCCCTTCTATGATATACAACGGACAAATGTATCAGAGAAGGTAATTTTTAATCATTAATGTCCAAAGAAGGATTTTAATTAACGGTGGTAACCGCAATTTGTTCCAAGCACCTACGGTATTCGGTAATAACATCAACAGTTTAAATCATAAATCCCAAGCACGAGAATCTGATGGCACACAAGTTCAGTAGCGTGTATGGCCACCATGTGCGTTGACAACTGCCACACAACGCCTCCGCATGGACCTTGTGATGCTTGTGAACACATGATTGGGAAGACGACGCCATTGTTGCTGCAAAATGGTGCCAAGATCTTGCAAATTCTGTGGTTGGTTCTGGAGAGTGCGCAGACTTCTGCCAAGAGCATCCCAAAAGTGTTCGATGGGATTGAAGTCGGGAGACCTTGACGGCCAGTCCATGACGTTGACTCCCGCATTCTGAAGGAAATTCCTTGTCAAAATTGCTGTGTTGGGTCTGGCATTGTCGTGTTGGAAGATCAAACCGGGTCCATGTGCTGCCATAAAAGGCAGAAGTTCTGGTGCCAGTACCTGGTCGCGGTAAGCAGCAGCGTTGAGGTTGCCACGGATGACAAGAAGCCTGGAACGTGCATTGCCACAGAAAGCACCCCACACCATGACACTTCCGCCTCGAAATCTGTCAACTTCCTGTACACAACACTGGGCGTAACGTTCATGACGGCGCATTCACACCCTCGCCCTACCATCAGCAAATCGAAGATTAAATCGGGATTCATCACTGAAGACGACTTGATTCCAATTCCTCTGAGTCCATCGTAAGTGTCGCTGTGCCCACAATTGACGTTGACGTCTGTGTAATTGATTCAGAATCGGCCCGCAGTATGGCCGTCGTGCTTGAAGGTGAGCATTTCTCAGACGGTTTCGAACAGTTTGCGCACTCAGTCTACCCCTAAACAGTTCATTTCTGGTTGATGTAGCCGTCAAAAATCGGTTACGGAGGTGACGTAAGACAATCTGACGATCCTCTGCATGTGACGTCACACGTGGTCGACCTGGCCGAGGGCGATCAGCGGTGGTACCCGTTTGCTGTAGACGCGTCTGTAAATCATAAACAGTCCGTCGACTACAACCCATCGTCCTTGCGACTTCGGCTACGGACGTTCAGGTCTGCAACATGCCGATGGCACGTTCACGTTGCACATTTGAAAGACGTGGCATGACAAATGGCCGTAAAGACTTTTGTTTTCTTGTGTTTTTCTTTTTTTGTTAATGACTGTTAACAAGTATGGCTGAAAACACGTGCGGTATTATGGCCACGTGACCAGTTGCACGTGAAAAACCACTTTTGCCACTATAGTGCTGTGCACATGATTTTGATCGATTCACCTGCACAAAAACGGGTGTTATCCGAAGACAATACGTGGCCATTACTGTTTAAATACACAAGAAGGGCCCACAACGATAACTGGTCAAAATGTTAAAATTTTAGGATTGTGAAGTTTTTAATTTGGTTAATAGGTTTGTGGCGTGCTCAAGGGACACTACACAGCTGATTTTACCGAGGAACTGGATTTGTCAAACGTAACTGTGATTGGCTGGAGAATTGTGGATGCTGTGACATAATAGTGAGTGAGTGAGTGAGTGTGGTTTTACGCCGCTTTTAGCAATATTCCAGCAATATCACGGCGGGGGACACCAGAAATGGGCTTCACACAATGTACCCATGTCGGGAATCGAACCCGGGTCTTCGGCGTGACGAGCGAACGCTTTAACCACTAGGCTACCCGACCGCCCCTCTGTGACATAATATATTTGGAAGCTGCACAATACCACAGCTGGACGAGAAAGGCCATGGAATGTTTTATTTTACCGCTGCAGCCACTAAACACAACAGCTGTACCACGACGGCGTCTCGATGTCGAATCTGGCCCACGCAAACCAGTGGTTGAAAGTATGAGCAACAATGCACACCGGGGTAAGATCAGCCAGGTCGCAGATTGCAACCAGCCGATCCTCAAAGGCTGATTCGTCGTTACATGGTTCAACCATGCGACGTATACCTTTAAGTCACACATAAACAGAATGTTACAAAAAAAACATGGGTTGCCGGGGACGTATTCTGTAACGGTTACCCCACAGAGGTTTAAACATGATAAATGACATGGGGACGACAGTCGAATGTAGCGAGAAAGAGATGTATGACAGTGCTAGATTAGTACAGTGGGTGGGGGTGGGGGGTGGGGGGTAGTTGTGGCATTATGTCGTTAAATTACACTTGGACTTGTGACCGTGGTTGATACGTGTTTACATCAGTTTTTAATCATTGTCATTAATTGGCGTGAATTGATGTTTATAAGTGAACGTGACTAAATTTGACTACTTATAATACTTGCCTTGAAATGACTTGTATTTCTGCATTTC